TATATATATATATATATATATATATATATATATATACTATTTGAAGATCTGATATTTATAATAGTAATGGAACGTTTATTTTTTTAGTTTCTCTGAAAACGTTCTTCACTGTCGAATAAAAACGAACGATACGATGTCAGTTGGCAGGGAATCTTCATTTTGAGTGGTTCTTGAACGAAGCAATCCAGCGATTTCGTTTATCGGGAAACGAATTTTGAGTGCGAAAACCAGCCTGGGCCCCGGAGAAACTGGTCCCGCCGGTATTCAAACAACAGGCAAGAAGTCACACAAAAGTCGAAGAGAAATAAAGAGAAATAGAGTAGAAACAACAGAGGTGGCAGGATTCTCGAAGGTGCGGACAATATTGGGAATAAAAAATTATCTTAGCATTTAAGACAGTGTGGAACGGCGATGGTGGGGGAGGGGGGAGGTAGGAGGAGCACTGTCGAGAGGAGAAGGAGGCGAGGAAGAAAGAACGTGGCAGACATTATTACCCGGGCCTCTGTTAGGTCTTCGGATGGCATTTTCAGCGAAAAGGAGAAGAATAAAGGGGGGGAGAAAAGGAAGGGGAGATCGGACTGGCGAAAAGGAGAAAGAGACGACGAGAGAGAGAGAGAGTGAGGAGAGAAGAAACGTGAGCGAGGTACCTCTTGTTGAAGTGGTTTGAAACGAGTATAAGAGAAGGAGGTTCTCCAAGGAGGTGGAAGAGGAACAACACGTGACCAATGACTTATATAAAGGTGGAGAACGACAGGGCGAGAAACACAGAGTTCTCTCTGCGCGGTGAAACCTGTGCTCGCGGAACAGTGACAATAGTTGTTTCTTTTTCTCTCTTTCCCTCTCTCTTTTTTTTCTCTCCCTCTCTCTCTCTTCTTAAACAACTACTCGATTACTGTACTACAATAATTCAGGCGGAAGAGTAATAACCTGATTTTTGCACCACGCGGGAGGACACTTACTTATCCGTAACCATGAGGACATACTACGTGATAGCTGCCATTCTGATCGCCGGTACGTACCCCTGAAAGATAAACGCGAGACACGATCACGAGGATGTTAGGGGTTGGAGAGTCGGGAGGAAAAACGGGGACATTCGTCAAGGCTAATGTAAAGAAAGGGGGCGAGAAGTGTTTTGCTTGAGGACGGTTGCGTTTGTCATATTTGAACGAAAGTGGAGGGACACAAGTGTGTGACATATGCCTGTGGATAGATCGGGAAGAGAGTGCATCACTCTTTCGTCGTGACTGTCGCTTGCCGTATCACGAAACGAGTAATAATACGTATAATATAATAATAGTAATTATTAAATAAAATTATAATAAATTATAATGATAAATATAATAATAAATTAATAATAAATTAATATAACAATAATAAACGAGCCTGCCCGTGGAATTGTTGATCCTCCAGACTCCAGAGCGTTTGTTAACGTATGTTCTCGTAACGGTTGTTTGCGAGAACAATCTATAGAATTACTTACTATAGAATCAATTCCGTCGAATTTATGAGAATTTGCTCAACATTTTCAAACAAAAGTGTTTCAAGTCACCGTAAGTCGTCTAGAAACTTCACTCATCTTCCTATTTTTTTTTTTTTTTTTTTTGCTTCGCTTATCACTATTCTTTGCGCGAGATCCAGAACGAAGGCTTTCTCTGTGTTTCCAAACGGAACGTACCGTTGGAAACGAGATCAAAAGACGTATACATTCAGTTTCACCTTCCCTTCACCTTCCCCGAGCTGCGACGGGCAACCTTGGCCCAGATCTTGACCCTTCTTTTTATCATCGAGTTCTCATCATCATCGGTCGATCGGCACAAATTCGTTGAGTCGAGACGCGACTTTTGATTGCCGGATCAGTTTCCAGGGAGAGAAACGAAAGTGAAACGTACACATGTAAGCACGAATCGGGTCGCAAGCTTATGAATACAGGCAAAATTACACGGAACGAAAGGTGTATGTGTGCACGAAACAGAGACACACATATACATGCACACACACACGCACGCGACAAACACAGACACGAAGGAAAGAAGTGTTGGTGTTGTGGCTGCTGGGTCTGGCTCTAGAAGTGAAAGCGCCTGGCGAAAGTCACTTCGTGTCCTTACATAAGACGTTTAGGTTATTCAGGCATCATAGCGCCACGAGAAAAGAACAACAGATTATTAGGAGTAAATTGCCAGGCTGGTGACAATGACAGCATCAGCATCTCTCGACGATAAATGGCTGAAACGTCGACACCATCGGAATGAAGTGAAACGCGATTGAAAATTTGCATGAGAAACAGGTATTATATAGAGTTAAAAGAAGACGAAAGAACGGTGAAAGAGGAGGCTCCTTCCCGCATTGGTGATAGCTTTTTGCGGTCAGTTTTATTGTTCGATTTCCCTCCCCCTTCGTTGTATCGGGTGTAACCGCAAAACAAACAACCGATCGTTCCCGTCTTGAAAACTTCGACCACGATCAGATGATTTCTATGCAGAACTATGTATTTATAGAAGCAGATTTACCGAGTGTAATTACGCGTGCTAAACCACAGAGACGATGAAAAGTTTAGCCTCGGTTAATTTGACTTTTTCAACTTAATTCACAACTGATGCTTGCCATTTATTTTCGAATAATCTTTAGAAAGAGAATTCTCTCGATTTCGTTGATTGAAATAACTTGTTCTTCCTCCGCGTAAAAAAAAAAAGACAAGAGACTTCCTAACCTAAACATAACTTAAACCTTGTTGAGTGTCCTGTGCGTAAGAAAAAAAAGACAAGCGAGACTTCCTAACCTAAACCTAACCTAAATCTTATACGTCTGAGCTACGATATATTACGTTTTCTTCCCTTTGATTTCCTTCGTTCTTATTAACTTGATAATATAGGTATTAATTTTTCAATCGTAGGCACAACCGCTCAGGAATCGTTCAAATGCCCAGACGACTTCGGCTTCTATCCTCATCACATATCCTGCGACAAGTACTGGAAATGCGACAACAACGTCGCGGAATTGAAAACTTGCGGCAACGGACTGGCCTTCGACGCGAGCGACAGCAAGTTCCTCACCGAGAATTGCGACTACCTCCATAACGTGGACTGCGGCGAGAGGACGCAGCTAGAGCCGGCGATTAGCACGCCGCATTGCCCACGCCTCTACGGGATCTTCGCCGACGACAAGAAATGCGACGTGTTCTGGAACTGCTGGAACGGAGAGGCTTCCAGGTATCAGTGCAGCCCTGGACTCGCTTATGATCGTGAAGCCAGAGTCTGCATGTGGGCTGATCAAGTGCCTGAGTGCAAGAACGAAGGTACGTATGGAGAAAGGTGTGAAGAATGAAGATAAAAATGGTTGATTTAAAAACATTTATCTTCTATCGTCTCGTTACCACTTCACATCTCTTTACTTCAGTTCAGTTTAGTTTGATTTAGTTAATAAGAACTATCATATTGTTGATATCATTTTGATATCATTCGTGAAATTTTTTTCTATTCTATCAGTCGTGCAAGTTAGACACCATTTTATCTCGTTGCCAGTTTACTTTGGTTCACTTTAGTTTGATTTCCCATCTCTACTTAGTATAATAAGAACTATCATACTATCAATGCTATTTTGATATCACTTGTAAAATTCTTTTCTACCAGCTGGAAATACCAAAAAAGTTTGACTATTTTATTAGTCGTGCAAATTAGATGAAAAAATTTGTCATCTTGTTGCCAGTTTACTTTGGTTCAGTTTAGTTTGATTTAGTTTGGTTTAATTTCCCATCTTTTGTTAGTATAATAAGAACTATCACACTATCAACACTATTTTGATATCACTTGTAAAATTCTTTCCTATCAACTGAAAATACCAAAAAAATTTGGCTATTTTATTAGTCGTGCAAATTAAATGCAACATTTGTTATCTTGTTGCCAGTTTGGCTTACTTTGGTTCAGTTTAGTTTCATTTAGTTTCCTATCTCTACTTAGTATGACAGAGATTATCACACTATCAACACTATTTTGATATCACCTATAAAATTCTTTCCTATCAACTGAAAATACCAAAGAAGTTTAGCTATTTTATTAGTTGTGTAAATTAAATGAAACATTTGCCATCTTGTTGCCAGTTTATTTTGGTTTACTTTGATTTAGTTTGATTTAGTTTAGTTTAGTTTTCTATCTCTACTTAATATGACAGGGATTATCATACTATCAACACTATTTTGATATCATCTTTCCCACCAACTGAAAATACCAAAAAAATTTGGCCATTCTATCAATCTTTGACTATTGAGCAAATTAGGTGGAATACAGCATTGATTCACTGAAAACAAAGTATTCATCGACGACGAATATTCTCGTTTCTCCTTGAACATTATTCGTCGCTGATCGTTCGATACGTTCAACTGGTACCCACGCGCATCCTGCGTCTTGTATTGGCCTGCGCTGGTTCACGCGGCTTATTTCGCCATTCACCGGCTTCTTCCACTTGACCCGTGATGTGGTGTTGACTGCTGGCCAAGCAACTTACTACAGTGTATTTAGCATAATACAATGTACGTGACGCGACGTGACGCCTCTCTCTTTCTCTCTCTCTCTCTCCTCCCTCCCATCACACACATAGTATTCTATTCAAACGCTTTCGCATTGCACAGAGGTCGCAGGAGGTTTCACGTGTCCGGCTGCTGGCGAAGTGAGCGGAGCATCCGGCAGCTTCAGCAGACACGCCCATCCCGAGGACTGCAGAAAGTATTACATATGTCTGGAAGGTATCGCTAGGGAGTACGGCTGCCCGATCGGCACCGTCTTCAAGATCGGCGACGCAGATGGCAGCGGCGCCTGCGAAGACCCCGAGGACGTACCCGGATGGTGAGTCCGTCTTACAATTTTGTGCAAGTGCAAGAATTTTCTTCTTTCTAGAACTTGTCGTTTCAAGTTGAATCTTTCATTTTTCCTCTCTGTCTCTCTCTCTCTCTTTCCCTCTCTCCCATCTCTCTGACGTTTTAATTGATCGATCCTTTTAGCCGATATCAAACCAAGGATTTTAATATCTCAAACGAAGAATAATTTGCCAATTCGATACCTCGATCTCTCGCTACCTTCTCAACTTTTCCTATCGAGTACTTTCTGAATACATTATAGATTCTTGCGACGATAGAATTACGATACTATGAAACACGTTGTGGAAGTAAGTAACATGGCGGATTGCCTGAAGTCTGGAGAGAAATTAAATTTTCTACACCAAGCTTTAGCCAACGCTTGGAAAAGTGTTAAAAACGATCAAGAATTAAAAGAGAGATTGCCACGTAAATTTGTGCAAGTCAGGAAGCTTTGCGACCAGACAGTTACGTAAAGATAGAAATTCTGGATAAACCTGAATGGTTCCAATGTTATATTATCGTTGAAATAAAACTCAACCTTAAAAGTTTGTGAGATATATTTCACCTTTTTTCGAGTGACGTAATTAAAACGGATACACTCTCATAACGGGTAGATAGAGGCTTTGCGTAACAGCCACCCAAATGTTGGTAACATAATATTTACATAATCTTCTTTCACGACAGGAATATCACGTGTGTGAAAGCCCGATAATCGAGACCCGTTAAAAGTATAACCAAATTTTAATTTGAAAAGAAATAACAGGTTAAAGTGAGACATTGGTAAATTAGATGATTATCATTTAAGCAATTATCATTTGAGAACTCCATCGTTTAAGCAATTATAGTACAAATAGAACATTTCGATTGAGGCTCAAACCACACGTAATTCCTCTCGATGATCGACGAGGATTAAAATCACATAAATATCGCTGATTAACAAAAAAAAAGTTTTCTAACAAGTGTAATTAATTAATACGATTTTCAAGTCGTCTTTGTTAAAACAAACATCATCCAACGTACTTTATTGCGAAGTAAAAAATTCCTGTTACGAAACGTTTTCAGGCGTGTACAAAGACAGTGTAATACATTTTACATGTAAATCAAGCTTGAGTACTCGCTCGGATATCGTATTCGTAACGCACATTTTTCTTTTTTCTTCTTTTTTTTTCCGGGAACACGAAACGTGTAGAACCACGCACCGCACTCGCGTACTAAACAAGTAAAGATCGTCCCGATCGTAATCCACTTCATTTTCACGTACACGTGATTAACTGTAAAAAAAAGAAAGAAAAAAAAGAAAGAGAGAACGACACGGCTGCACGCGAGGTAGGCAGGTGGCACGCCACGCATGTCCTAACTGCCGGATTTCCCCCGGTGTGTTCTGCTTCACAGTGAGGATTACTACGGTGACCTGGATCTAAAGAGCATCAGGAAGAGCGAGCTGCTTGCCGGAATTCAGAATTCAGGCGAGACCAGGAAGCCTCCTCAAGGCAAACCGAGGCCCCCGTCGGCACCTGCCAGGCCCAACGCACCCCTTCAAGAATAATTTCCAAATCCACCCGTACTTCCCTTCCTTTTTCTCTTCATTCTCCTCATCGTCTCTTTTCTCCCCTCCTCTCCTCTCCCTCTCTCCTTTGTTTCTTCCCTCCCTCCTTCGCCTATTTTTCTATCACATCACACACACGCAGTGACACATATACAGACACACTTATTCGTGTTCGAACTCTCGGACCATGAAACACACACACCACACACACACATACACGTACGACATGTGTACAATGGCAGAAGCCAAGAGTGCCGGGGCCCCTTTGCGTTTGCAATTTCTTCCAGAATCGCGTATGTACGGTATCCGGTCGGTCTCGCGTGTACGACGAGGTTTAAAGGCCACGATGAAAAATTGGCCTTTTCGAGACGTTCCTTCGCGAGTCGTTCCACGAGAGTAAATGTCAAATTCCTGCGTCCCTCCGCGTTGTAACGTACGCCTCGAATGCAACGACGCGTGGCTAGGTACAGTCGGTAACAATCAATAGACCGTTTGTTTTCGCGCGATTTTAATTCTCCACGAGCGTTGCTTTCGCTCTTCTTAATTAGACACGTTCCGTGCCGAGCCGTTTTTGCTCGACTTTTTCATTCAGGCCATTTGATGTTTTGATTAAAGATTAGAATGGCCAGAAGATTAGAATGGGCTTTGACAGAAGAATGATCATTACATCATCAATCCATAAGTAATCAACTTATATAGAGTAGTTGTCACATCGTGTACCATCGGTGGTATACGTGGCACGAAACGTGTTAATTAAATGCGCGAGCAATATCATATAACATGTCAGGTAACACGTAGTGGAGATGATTAACGGAATTGATTGTATCCTCGATCAACGCACGCGTGAAAGGTTAATTAAAATCTAAAATTCTTTCGGTCGACCTTTTTCCTTTCACTTGTTCCAAATTTTCGATTCCACTTTTCGGACGCTTTGATGATTGAAATTCGAATTCGATAATGATTCGTATCGTCTCGTATCGGTAACGTTTCGTATCGATGGTCTTTCTTACCTCTTGGTTACCTCATAACCACTCTGTTTTTCCGTTCGTTCACACTTCCTTCGTTATCGACAGACAGTGATTTCAAGGGAAAAAAAATTTTCGATCTCGATCTGTGAACATCGTTTTCGATCGCAAAACGCGTTCAGAGAAACGTATTCGCAGAATCTAGTTCTCTCAGAAACAAAAATTCGAAGACGAGGTGCAAACGAATTATAACTTCTTTTTTCTTTTTCTTTCATTTTTATTTTTTCCTCCTCTAGACACTCTTGGCGTCGGTCAGGCACGCTTGCGCAAATTAGACTCCGTCCGTGTTTACTTTTAAGTAATGTGAAAGATTCGTACCTACAAATAAAAGAAACAAAATTTCGTGAAAAAAAAAAGAACTGGTCTATGTCCTTCTCAAGAAACCTCCCAATCTCTCATTTTCTGTCATGTGAGCGTTTGTTCGTGTTTGCTTGCCACCTTGGAAATTTACTGCTGTGATTCTAACCTCTGCATGCTCGTTACGATCGTATTCAATTTCATCTGTGAATGTTCTGAATGTTCTAAACACTAAGAACACTCTGTCGTAATCAACTTAATGCACCAAAGTTGTATCTACTTACACGTGCATCTGTGAAGAAGTGTATATATCAAGCGATACAGACAGGTGGATAATTGGAGATTGTCACATCATTCAGTGTCCTTTAACAATTCAAATAGTGAGTTGATTAATGTGTTAATTTCTTCCTTTTTCTTTTTTTTTCATCATTCACTTTTACGCAATAAATTGTGCTTATCCATATCTACTTTTGCAAATTCGAAGTATACATTTTGTAAAATGTGTGTGTGAATTTCATAGCGAAGACTACTACGGCGACGTGGATCTGAAGGCACTGCGAAAATTGGGATACAAGAAAAAGTGACGAGTCGAGGAACGCGCAAGTTCCAATAATTCCAATCAATAATCAATGTCAGGTCTGCTATTCGATAGATTTCGATACCGATCGAGATCGATCGATTTCCCTTCTCATCTTCTCGTCTTCTGTCCAACTAAAATCGAAACGAAATCCATATGATTCAGATTTCACTCTCACTTGTCATCGCGTCATCGTTTATGTGTCTATGGATCTTACGATAGATAACTGTATAGGCAATTACTTAACTACCTATGTTTACTAACTGTGTAAATAAATTACTGTCATAAAACAACACTTTGTTATATTATCGTTATATTATTTGTGCAATTTATTAGAAACAGAATATCTCCTGTCGCCAGATATCATCCCTTTTCCTCTATTAGAAAGAAATCTTTCAAGACAAAGTTACATGTACAATACTAAGGGCTATACGTATCAATGAAAAAAAACTGTTCCCAAGTTATTTGCTCGATCGTTACAGCTATTGTGCGAAATTATGTCTGATTATAACTCTTAATGTCCTCGATCCAATTTAATTAAGAGAATTAATTCACTCTTTACTGCAAACTTTCTTTTTTGAATTTATTTGAATTTTAAAAATCTTAAAACTTTAAAGAATAAGAAATTTACGACAATAGTGATAGTTATAATATATGATTTATAAAGACGAATAAGAAGAATAAGCCCACAAAAATATTTTGAGAGTTGTGATATTAGCTATGTAAGTCAATTGTAAGATGTTTTACAAATTAGTTCAGAAAACTGTCGTACCACTAGCGCTGCTTATAGTAATATAGTGTAGCTAAAAAATGCATAGATAAAAACTACAAAAATATTGTAAAATTTCACCAATATTGTAAAATTTCAAATATTGTAAAATTTCATTGTAAAATTGTAACTTGACATTATTAAAAGATTTCAATGAACACAAAGTTATTATTGCTTAGTTATTTAACAATCTAAATCCCTTACCAAGAAGTACTGTTTTTACAAAAATTCTTAATTGTAAATCAAAGATTTCTAAAAATTAAAAAAAATATTATTTTATCGTGTCACATGATTTTCATAATTTACGTATGATTTATTTGGCGGCAATATCATACTGTATATTAATCTATTTCACAATTTTGAGATACTACATATGTTTGACTCAAGCAAGCTCTCGATTATGATACAGTGATTTACTGTAGTAATCGAATATAGTGTAAAAATCGTTTCAAAATGAAACCAATAAAAAAAAATTAATATTTCATACACTGATTTGTAGAAATATTATCAAATATTACTATAAAACGAATACTTCGATCTAATGAAAGAAATTTGCAAATTTTTAAACACATATTTTATAAGACAGATGAGATACAGGAAGCAAGCTTAGGATCTAGAAACTGCATCTAGAAAGATACAACTGCAGAAGTTCATACATTAATCTTCTTAATTAGTTTTTTTTGCAAATGAAAATTTAGTCAATCCATGGTCATGTAGGTACGATGATCGATAAATAATAAAGTCAACGTACTACGTAAAGGAAAATTTTATAATTTATTTTAACGTTTACATGATACAGAATTTAATGGATGAATTAAAACTGACGACTATTTATTAATTTCTTATTTACTATTATATATATTCTCGGCAATTTGTTTGTAACATGGTAACCAATAATTTATTGTATTTCCACGGTAACTTTTTATAAGACTAAATAGATTTATAAGACTAAATAGATGTCGCTACATCTACGAACAAGGTGTTGCCATCTATCGAATTTTTCCTTTTTACCCTTTTAATTCCAGACAGTATTTAGAGACGTCTAGATGGCAGCACTATCTTCAAGTAAGGATAGCAATAGTGTGTGACAATAATAGGTTTTAGTTCTATAGTTTCATCGCTACGCGGTGCTAGCATTTCAATGTTTGTAGATTCGATGATCGATAAATGATAAAGTCAACGTACTACGAAGGAAATTTTATACTTTATTTTAACGTTTACATAACACAGAATATAATGGATGAATGACGATTGTTTATCATTTTCTTAACAATTGTTATATGTATTCTTGGCAATTTGTTTGTAACTTGGTAACCACTAATTTGTTGGTATCTTCGTGGTAACTTTTGATAAGACAATTGAATAGCAATAGATGTCGTTACATGTTCATGGATTGATTATCATTTGCAAGAAAAACTAATTAAGAGAATAATTTATGAACTTTTGTGATTGTAATTTTGTCTTAGATCATAAGCTTGCTTCCTATTTCCCATTTGGTATGAAGATGAATGAACAAAAGCTTTAAATTTTCATTCAATAGATCGAACGATTACCTTATTGGTTAGACAAGAAACGCGCTGTATGACGAAAGCTAATGCAAATAAAGTATAATAAGATTGAAACGATTTGATCGAAATTCATTGAAACGAGATGATTTATTGTAAAAATATATCGTACAAAATATATTTACAAAATATTTGACGCCACTAATTGTATATTATTTGTAAAGTTGTTAATAGTTTTGCTCATTCCAATTGCTCATTCCCTACTTTATCCTAAAACTTACAAAGTATTTTTTACGAAATAAATTTTAGAAAATGTAATATTTACGTAAAAAATCTAATATTTACGTTAAATTATTTTTAAATTTAGCCTCTTAAAAATCTAATATTTAATATAATTAATCTAATATTTACGTTCGATTATTTAACACATGTTTTGTATGGACATGTTTCATGTTTCTGCTGAAACAATATATTGTATGTATTAATTTTAACTATGATTTAAATTATACAATTGTATCAAACGTAATATCAATAATAAATTATATCTAAATGTGGCTTTGTTTTGAAATGTTAATTGAATTATAAATTAAAAATAGTGTTTGTCATATACTGCACGTAACATCATGGTGTTGTGTTTTCACGGTTTTTATGAAACGAGGTAATATAATCCCTTTTGTTGATCAAACAAAATACTCGTACTTGTTTCTGTATTGTAAAAAGGTGAGAATTAATTATGTCTGTCAAAAATAAGAAGTCAGCCAAGGCAATTACATGAAAGAATCTTAACCTCAAATGTTTGATGATTTCCAATGTTTTTGGAATGACCGAGTATATTCATGATTTCAATTTTGTTGTATTTCTATTGTGTATTTTTAAGCGATTTTAGAAACAATTGTGCAGAATTATATGAATACATGTTTTGAATAATGGAAACAAAAAGGCATAATTTAGAAAAGCATCAAGTATTATTCACAGATAGCAGCTTTATGCATAAAAGTCAGAGTCAGGACGAGCATATAAATAATTTGTTTAACAAGCACTTCAAAATTGTAAATAATGAATCCTATTCAATGCCCGAACCGGCAATGATGTTTAAAGACTCTCTGTGGACAATTGATGAATTGCAACTGGTAAAAAGCGAATTGAATAACGTGAAGAATTGCTTGAACAGTTATGACCTTGATAAGTGGCAATTGCACACAAGATTAAGAAATAGTGCAAAAAACGTCATAACACGATTGAAAAGCCACTTTCAACCAGAACTTTTAACTCAGGCATGGTGTAAATTTTATGAGATATTATCGTCATTTCCTTTAATACCACTGAGCTACATCCATAACAATAACAAATATTTCAAATCTGTCCATTTGTGCGAAGCACCTGGGGCTTTCATTACATCTTTAAATCACTGGTTGGAAACAAATGTTCCAGATATTAATTGGGATTGGCTTGCTATGACTTTGAATCCATATTATGAAGGCAATTCAGCATGTATAATGGTCGATGACGATAGATTTATAAGACACACGTTGAAACATTGGTGTTTTGGAGAAGATAATACTGGAAATCTCATGAATTTGAAAAACTTGAATGAACTTACAAAGTTATCAGAACCACATTGTGATATATTCTTAATTACTGCCGATGGTAGTATAGATTGTACAGACGTTCCAGCTGAACAAGAAAGCGTTTTAATACATTTGCATTTCTGTGAAACTGTAGCTGCCTTGCAATTATTAGCTACTGGAGGCAGCTTTGTGTTAAAAATTTTTACTATTTTCGAGTGTAATACGGTATGCCTGATGTATCTGTTGTCTTGTTGTTTTAATCATGTAAGTGTAATAAAACCAGCAACAAGTAAAGAAGGAAATTCAGAAACATATGTTGTATGTATGAACTTTAAGGGACCAACATTTATCTCATCTTATCTAGACAAACTTAAGGAACATTACGAATATGGCCCGAAACGAGCAATTTTCAGCAAACATGATATTCCTTGTACATTTATAGAAAAAGTTATAGAATGCAGTGAATTTTTTAAATCTCAACAATGCCTAGTCATAATAAATAATATTATTACATTTAATTTTGAGAATCCTAAAATGTTACAAGACATAAAGCAAATTCAGTGTATGGTTGCCGATAAATATATAAGAAACTGTAACATAAAAAAATTAGAAGCTGGACAAATTGTTGGAAATGCAACTATATTAGGAGGAACCAGTAATCAATACAAAAGATCATTGCAAGGATCATATAATGACCGTTGTGTGAAACAACATTTAGCACCTCTAGATCGAATAGAAAGTTTTTATAATGATTTTAACAAAATTGAAATCTATATATTATCTGATCAAGTCATAAAAGTAAGCTGCTTTAATATTTCTTATTATATTATACTGTCTTCTGTTTACAATATAAATTAAAGTCTTATTTTTTATAGTACAAGTTCACTGAATTCCCAGGAGAGTTACAAATTCGTTCTGGAAAGGTATTTCATAAAATAGGTACTTCGAAATTTTGTAACAAAACTGCTTTGAAAATAAAAAATGGTATTGATGATATTCTTATTAAAATGAATTTCAAGATACAATTTCCTTCTATAGAAAATATAGAAAAATTGAAAGCTGAAATTCTTTGTAAACCAAGACACGAAGTTTTAATTTTTAAGTATACAGATATTTATGATAGCCATAGAATAATCATAGAAATTTATAATACATTAGAAAAGCTTGACATTGGAACAACATTAGTTTTAATCGGTTACTCGTTACTTACTCATCTTAGTATTGAACTGCTTTATCTTATAAGTTGTGCCTTCAGTTCATTGACAATTACAATTTGTAATGATATAGGATTGAAAATTATATTATATCACTATAATTACAATCCTAAAGTATTAAAATTTTTAAATGAAATTAACGCTGCTTCTTCTGAAGCTCAAAAACAAGAGAAAGCTATTTTGGAAATAATTTCTCCATCAGTATTTTATGAAGGTAAATAGAATTATATTAATTCATTCCAATTACAGTGTTACAATATTACATCTCACATTATTTCTTTTTCTAGGATGTTATTTGTGCTATTCAGCAGAATACCTTAATTACTGGGTAATAAAAACATATTGTCATCATGTATTAAATACATTAAAAAAAGTTGAAAAAGAAAGTTGATAAAATCAATATATTCCTTATATTGGTAATACCAAAGTTGTACCAAATTTATACAATAAAATATGAATATATATATATATATCTGTCTATAGTGTATGTTTCCTTTCTAAGATAAAATTTGTAAGTTAGTTTATTACATAGTTTATTACTACACAGTAGGTATAAAATATGAATATAAAGTACATAATAAATTTATAATTATGTATAAATTTTGTTTTATTTTCAAAACTAGTTATTTGAAATAACTATTAGACTCAAAATGAAAATCCTTGGCTGCTTCTTTTTTAAAAAAAATTATATTTTATGAATAATAAAACATAATTTTTCTTACAATACATGTTTTTAGATTAGTACAAGTGTTTACTATGCAACTTGTCGAAATCTACAACTACATTCGTTTCTTTTCAACTCAACATATTATACCAAGAGTATGCATTATTGGTGCGGGACCAGCTGGCTTTTATGCTGCCCAACAATTATTAAAGGTATGTATAGTATTTGGTGTATTAAAATAATATTGTAACAATATAATGTTGATACAGACAAGCGCTAATGTAAAAGTGGATATATTAGAGAAATTACCAGTACCATATGGTTTAGTGCGTTTTGGTATAGCACCAGATCATCCAGAAGTGAAGAATGTTATTCATATTTTTGAGAAAATTGCATCTAATCCACGTTTTCAATTTATAGGCAATGTTAATGTAGGAAAAGATGTTACTATAAAGGAATTGCAAGAAATTTATCATGCAGTTTTATTAGTATGTATAATAAAAATGCAATTATTTTTATATTTTAATAGTTGATTAATAATTATTTTCTAATATTTTAGACATATGGTGCCGAAGAAGATAAACTATTGAATATACCTGGAGAGAATTTAAACAATATAATATCAGGACGACGATTTGTCGGTTGGTATAATGGGATACCAGCAGACAGTAATCTAAACATTAATTTAGATGTAGAAGAAGCTGTTATATTAGGACAAGGTAACGTTGCAATAGATATTGCACGAATTCTATTAACGCCGGTAGACAAATTGAGGGTATGTATCAAATTTAATATAAAATATATTTTATATGTTTCTAATTTATCTATAATTCTGCTTGTTTAGAATACTGATATAACATCATTTGCATTGGAAAAATTGTCGAAAAGTAAAGTACGAAAAATATCATTAATAGGCAGAAGAGGACCATTACAAGCTGCATTTACAATTGCTGAACTAAGAGAAATATTAAAATTAGATGGCTGTAAGACTTGTTGGCGTGTAGATGATTTTACAAATGTAAATCAAGTAATTAGTACTTTAGCTAGGCCACGGAAAAGATTAACCGCGCTTATGTTGGAATATTTAGAAAAAACATCTTCAGATACGGGAATAACGACAAAAAAATTGTATCCAATATTTTTAAGAAGTCCTGTGGAATTTTTAGGTTCTAATACAGTACATAGTATTAAACTATCAGTTAATAGACTTGAAGGTAATGACATATCTAGCCAATTTGCTGTACCTACTGGATTGTTTGAAAAGATTGAATGTGGTCTTGCATTTCGTAGTATTGGTTACAAATCTGTTCAAATAGATGCATCAATACCATTTGACACAAAAATTGGTCGTGTTAAAAGTATAGCAGGTAAAGTTCAAGATAAACTTTATGCTGCAGGTTGGGTTGCAACAGGTCCTGTGGGAGTTATATTATCAACAATGACAAATGCATTTCAAATTGGTACATTAATGAGTAAAGAATTATCAATTACAGAAAATAAACCAGGTTTTGTGGGTTTGTCTAAAATACTTGCTCAAAAAGGAATACCTATAGTATTATACAATGATTGGAAAAAAATTGACACAGTAGAATGTGAAAGAGGAAAAATATTAGGGAAACCAAGGGAAAAAATAGTTGATATCAATGAAATGTTAGAGATTGCTTTAAAATAATAAATGCATAACAATTATTTATAAAAAAGCAAATACCTTTCACTTTTTAATAAGTCTCATTATATACTTGTTAATAAATCTCACTATATACTTAATTTTTTAAATATCAGTTATTTACTTAAATCAAGCCTTAGAGGAACTTTAGATTTTACACTTATATATGCAGTTATATAGCAATATCTTAATTGTAAGCAATTTGTTATAAAAATATATCTTTACAAAGGTGATATTTAAAATAAATAAATTTTTGATATTCCAGATATTGCCAAACTTACTTTTCCAACTATGGTGTTTGGAAGGTTATTATATTGCTCTGTATACTAGTACATGTATGATAATATTATGCATAATGTTTTTAACATATAAATTTTTTAACATATTAAAACATTTATTTATAGTTACAAAAATGGAAAAATTGACACAGTTTTTTTACGCAGAAAACGATAAATTACATAATGGCAAAGTTTGAAATCGCAAAAAAATTCGGAAAACGAGAAAGTTAATTTTATATATTCTAAATATATAGCTTTTTTTGATCTCTGTGAAAAACGATGTGCGTTAAATAAATAAAATTTATATTTTTACTAAAACTGTTATAAATATTTCAATATATTAATTCAATAATACTATTGTAAACAAATATACCTAAACACCATAGTGTCCGACCATTAATAAGAGTCACTACATATTTATTCATTTCATATGCATAATTATAATCATTAAAATATTTTTTATTGTTTGTTTAATTTTATGAAAAGTTGAATTTCCAATATAATGTACGTAAGAAGTGATGCTCGTAAGATAAACTTTTAATCGCAGGTACGTTAACCTCATAATATTATGCACGTAATTTGAAACGAATATTTATTTTTATTTTTATACTCGATTAAAAATTTACATTAATTATCCTGCGCTGTGTTTTTTCTTTGCAGAATACAAATTTAAGAATTAAAAATTACTGTACTCAGAGATAACAAATCTATGATAACAAATTCTTATGATATTAATGCAATTAAAGCAAAATCTGTGTTTACAATAATAAATATTTACGCATAGATTTTTAAATAAGAAATACTTATGTTTAAAATAACAGAATAATAAGAAAAAAGAGTTCTTAAGATAAAAAGTTTTTCATTGTTACGTATTATTAAATGTAATTACAACATGAATTTACAAGAACCAAAGAGAAAACGGCACGTAAAATTAAAAGAACAGTTGCCATTTCCAATTGTGTTAGGCAATAAAAATGAGTGGATTACATATACTGCTCATCTCACTGACTTAGGATCTTGTATAATTGATCCAAATGAAATTGTTGCAGTACATTCTATGGTAATTATCGTTTGCAAATAGATATATAATTTAATTGGATATATTTAAAATTGGAATTTTCATTTTCCATATGCGTAATGTTATTATTTGTTTAGGGTTATTTTGGGAAAGGTTCCTTATCACGTGGCTTTCCCTCATTTAGTAAAACACGATTTGGAGTTCCTCCAGTCATAAGAAATAGACAATGGCTTCGCAGACAAGAATGGTTGAAACAATTTAATGAATTTAGCATGGAAGCTAATAGCAAACATACAAATTTAGAAGAAAGTAAATGTGAACTTTCCCATTCAAAAGTTCCTGATGAAGATGATATCAAATTTTTAAAGAACCTAACAAAGGAAAATATACCAGATATAATTGAAATAGATACAAATTCAGTTTCTTTAAATGAAAAACATAAAGAAAGTCAACAAATTGATAAAAAGCTAGAAGTAAATGGTACAAATTCAAATTCCACGAAAGAGGACGACTCGTTGATTATTATAGAAAACAAATTTAACAAAGAATGCAATAACACTGATAGTAGTCAAAGAAAGTCCATGGAAAGTGAAGAAAAAAATTTTTTTGCAGATTTTAATTTGAAAGAAAATGATGTGTGTTTTACTGATAATAACACAGATGTTCAAAACAAGTTACTTGTCTTACCAGATAGTGATTCAGAAACTGAAAATTATTTAAAAGAAATAAAACCTAAAATTGAATGTGAAAGTTTTCCCATTCAAGAAACTCTCCATCTTACATTTGAAGAAACATTCTTCCTTTTATATGGTTTAGGTTGTTTGAATTTATTAGACTTTGATGGTAATTTAGTAGACATTGATAGCGCTTGGCATATTTTTTGCAAGACTGATAAAAATTTTGTGTCAAAATATGTTGTATATCATTATTTTCGGAGTAAAGGATGGGTAGTAAAACCTGGACTTAAGTATGGTGGAGATTTTTGTAAGTACTTCTTTTTATTATTACTTTTAAGAATTATGATTTTTCATTTCAATTATGATTCTTATAATGATTTTTCAATACTGTATTCTCAGAATACAAATAATATTGAATATTTTAGTGTTATACAAACAAGGACCACCGTTTTATCATGCATCTTACATTGTAATAATAGATATTTTGGACGGTGATACCTTAGTCACAGATCAAAGTAAATGTATGCGTAAATTAACGTGGAATAGTTTATTAGGATTAGAAAGATTATCAGAAACTGCTGCTAAGGTAACTCTCAATATAACATACCTTTCAACGTTGTTTCTAAGTTGAAAATGTTTTTAATTTTCTATTATATTTTTAATTTAGGAAATATTATTCGCACAAGTTTTATGGCCATCTTCAGCTTTACATACATCTAATACACTAAGTGTGGATATCCTTTCTGAATTTTCTGTGAGAGAATTATTATGGAGAAGATGGAATCCTAAACATAATAAAGATTTAGAGGAAGAAGATGAAGACTCATGTTGATTTTATTTTTAACATGTTTATTAATTGTAAATGAATACATATAAATTGAGGAACATTATTTATTTATCTATCATTTATCTATATAATAACTCTCTTTTATAATTTTTAAGTTGACAGCTTTCATTAAAAACAATTGACAGCTTTCACTAAATAAATAATATGTACAAACTTATTTTATACTCACACAATACAAATTCAATTTATAACTCACAATATTACTTCTAGCTTATATTGATGATGATTGATATCTCGTATATTTTGGTTTTTGTGATATACCAGTCCTCCGATATTCACTTCTTTCATCCAAATATTCTTGTGTACATTGTTCTTTGAAGTCTGAATCATTATACCATAACGTTAAACACTCTTTTAATGCAGAATTTTCTTTCTGACACTTGAAACCCATGAGAAAATTAGCTTTTTTACAACACTCTGAAAACTCTAGAAATGAAAAATAAAAATACACTACTTATCCAAATATATATAATAATTAAAAACTACTACCTTTAACTTGTTGAATACACTTTTCTTCTTTTGCTTTGTCTCGCATTTTTTGTGGTATAAGAACGTCTTTTTCTACCTTTCTTAAATATTTGTCATTAGGATCTCCTAAAAAACACGTTTGCATTCTTATAAACATTCTCTCCGCAGTTTCAAATAATTGTTAACTTATATGTAAAAATTGCTTTACTTTAGTTAAATGAATATAGTAATTTAGAAAACATTTGTATAAAATTTGCATTCTAACAAAAGTATAGAATATCAAATGTATAACCTTATTTGTGTGTACAAAAGTTACACATATTTAGTTTTTTCATTAATTACTAATTTACTAACAAATTAAAATTTACCTAAATTATGTGGTCCTCCTCCGTATTTGATACGCTCGGTTTTAGATTGTACATCAATCATTGTCGTTAAATCGCTGTTAAAAACGTTATTAAAACGATTATGAAAAATTTTACACAAACATGTGAATGCTAGTTGCTCCAGCAGGCTGCGTTCATGAGTGTGCAGATTTGAGAGTCGTCAATGTACATTGCTTTGCGAAAGGAATGTTTGTTTAATGCTACGGATGACTGATAATCATACTATTTTTAATTAAAAATATAATATAACAGGTGAGTAAACAAATGTAGTATTTTACAAAATCTAAATAGATATAATTTTTCGTGTAGATGTGTCATTAACAAAAGTTAACCTTGTTAATGATCGGTTTATGTTGAACTGCGATTAGAAATTCTCATATTTTGAACTCAAAATGAAATATTATGCATTGTTTCTAGAATTGTTCAGAAAATACAAAAAAGACAGCGATGGATCGATTATTGAGATTAGGAGGTGCTATGCCAGGTCTTAGCCAAGGACCTCCACCTTCAGATGCTCCAGTTGTTGATACTGCAGAGCAGGTAGAATTTATTTAGGTCTCAATTTGTTAGTTCAATGGATAATTCTATTTCAATTCTTATTTCAAGCATGATAAAATACTTTATAATTATCATAATTTAACTTTATTTTTTACATTATCTGAGAAAGAAACTACAGATATGTTGATAGCACATTTTGTATTTACTAATATACCATTTTTGCTGCGTTATTATTGTTAGGTATACATATCATCATTAGCTCTTTTAAAAATGCTTAAACATGGACGGGCTGGTGTACCTATGGAAGTAATGGGTTTAATGCTTGGTGAATTTGTCGATGATTATACCGTACGTGTCATCGATGTGTTTGCTATGCCTCAAACAGGAACGGTAATAATCTAAATTTTATGTTTTTTAGTATTTTTCTTTCTATATTTTGTTAAAATAAGTGTTGAGATTATATCTTTCCAGTATTTAATTTATTATTATTTATCCTAGGGAGTCAGTGTGGAAGCAGTCGACCCAGTATTTCAAGCAAAAATGTTGGATATGCTCAAACAAACTGGTCGGCCAGAGATGGTAGTAGGATGGTATCATTCTCATCCAGGATTTGGTTGCTGGCTCTCTGGTGTAGATATTAACACACAACAATCATTTGAAGCTCTTAGTGAAAGAGCAGTGGCTGTTGTTATCGATCCTATACAATCAGTGAAAGGAAAAGTTGTTATTGATGCATTTAGATTAATTACTCCTAACACTATGGTAACTATTAAATTAAAAGTGAACATTTTCATTTGAATTAAGTTACATAGTTGTTTGTATACATGTAAAATTATAGGTTTTAGGACAAGAACCACGTCAAACCACATCTAATTTAGGTCATTTACAAAAGCCATCTGTTCAAGCGTTGATTCATGGTTTAAATCGCCACTATTACAGTATTAGTATCAACTATCGTAAAAATGAACTAGAACAAAAAATGTTATTAAATCTACACAAGAAAACATGGATGGATGGGCTTACATTGGCCGAATATTCAGAACATAGCAAACTTAACGAAAACATCGTATCTGAAATGCTTGAACTTGCCAAAAATTATAACAAGGTAATTATTAAGATATCAGAGATATTTTTTGAATAGAAAGCTAAAATTTCAAATGTACTAACTTAAGAATTTATTCTTGTAGGCATTGGAAGATGAAGAAAAGATGACACCCGAACAGTTAGCTATAAAGAATGTGGGTAAACAAGATCCAAAACGGCATTTAGAAGAAAAAGTAGACACACTTATGTCTACCAATATTGTTCAATGTCTGGGAGCTATGCTTGATTCAGTTGTATTCAAATAACTATTTCTTAAAATACCGTTTGCAATATTATTAAAAAAATATACATCTTTCTAAAATATATGTGTTTATAATTTACATTTGAAGGATGCATATAATACACAAAAATTTTTGTACTATTTTTATTTTCATATTAAAAAATGCGAACAATAGACAAGTAGATTTTTATATTTTTATTCAAAATGTATTTATAAATTTATAATATTAGCTATTCAGAAATTACATATAATTTATCTTTTGATATAAAATATATTATTATTAAAATATATCTGAATAGAGATGAAGTAACAAATGAATTGATGCTTCATTGATTGAATGAATGCATTTTGCAATACAAAATGTAAATACTACTCTTGCACGATATTAAATCTATAACATAAGAAACGCTAGAGGAATCATAATGGAATTTTTTTATACTTCAGTAAATGAAATTAATTTGCTATGTACATTTATTGATACTTTAAATATCGTATCAATATTCATTATTTGCAAAATTTATAACACATATATTTAATAATATATTTTTGCAATAGTTTTTTAGTACATCATTAAATTGGATATATTATTGGATCTTATCTTTCTTCTTTTTCTTTTTTTCTTTTTCAGCTGTCATATCCTGTTAATAATAATATTAAATTTTTGAATCCTTTTAAAATGTTGAACTCTGAAATTAAATATGAATTACTTTACCTCAGTTGCCACAGATTCGTCAGCTTCAGATTCTGTTTTTTCTTTCTTTTTTTTCTTTTTCTTTTCTTTCCTATCTTTCTTTTTTTCTTTTGGCGACGTTAATTCGGAATCCTCAATCACTTCTTCTTTTATTGAAACTTCAGTTGTAGGTTGTGGAACTGTTTCTTCCCACTTTCGTTTCTTAGCCGCAGAATCGGCAGAAACACCATTTTCCTCAGTCTAATCCACAAATAAAAACTAAATATAACTAAATATATATATTTATACAAAGAAATATAACAAAAAGCTGATAATTACCTTAATTACAGGTATAGAATAGTCTGTATAATTTGCTAACCAATCTGCAGGTGTGTTCTCATTTGGTTTTCCATATTTATCTAACTTTCCTTCAATTATCATGCGTTTTTTTACTGAAGCTTTTGGTCCTAGACCCCATTTTCTTGGATATGCATCTCTTTCCATGATTACTCTTTTAATTTTAGCAGCTACACCATGATCACAAGCTGTCATTGTAGGTGATGTCATTAAAGCTATAGCTGTGACAAAAAGAATTGCAAATACAATAATTTTCATTTATAAGCAAAGATTAATATAAATTATTGTTAGAAAGAATGTGCCATATATAATACATTAAATTACTTACCAAGCGCTATAGCTTCACCTTTTGTAGTTACTATTACAATTTCTTGATTTAATTCTATACCATCATCATACATTAAAATGCCTGGCAGCATAATTTTAGCACCATAACAGATAGCATTTACCTATCAATATAATTATTCATATAAATTATTAATATAATTGTGTAATATAAAAAAATATCAGATAAGAAAATGTTATATACAAATAATGGATACATACTGCGCTATCCTTTACGATAATTCTCTTATGATTTACTAAAAGAGCTTCTAATGGTTTAATTACTCTTCTTAAATATGATTCATCTCCATGATTTTCATATAACCATTGAGCATCAAGTATATCATGCATAGTAACCATTCCATCACTTTCAGATTGGACGCCCGAGCGATTTCTACGTAATTCTTGCATTTGACAACCAGTGCCTAAGAAGAGGCCAAGATGAACACAAATAGTTCTAATATATGAGCCAGCCTCACAACTAACTCTGAACACTCCCATATTACGTTCTTCATCGTAATCAAGGAACCAACTGTCATAAACTGTTCTAACACGAAGCTGACGCTTCACTGCAGATATAAGTGGAGGTCGTTGAAAAAGTGCACCACGTAATTTTTCTAATGCCTGACTAACCTATATTATTTTCTCATTAATAACAATGTCTCATATAAGGTTTAAAATATTTTAAATTCAGCATATATCATATTTACCTTCTTAAGACTTTCTGGAGCAGAATGTAATTTAAAAACTGCAATATATTCTTTTCCAGCAGATTGTTGTGATTTAGCTAATCTAGTTGCTCTGTCAATACATACTATCAAACACCCGGATACTTTAGGATCTAATGTACCTGAATGACCAGTTTTCTCCACTTTTAAAATTCTTTTTATCCATGCAACAACTTCGTGTGATGATGGATTACATGGTTTGTCTAGATTAATGCAACCAGATTTTACATATTCAGATAAAGTGCGATGTAATGGTGTTGAGCCACTAGTTAATGGAGTAAAATGCTTTGTGCGAGTAAGCATTTTATTAAAATTCTGAAACAATATAATTTATATTTAATTATAGCTGTATTTTTGGAAATTCTTAAATCATGTGATGGATTATATTTTGTATTACACACCTTAAATAAGAGGGGCCAATCTTTGTATTCCAGTTTTACAATTTCATCCGAAGGTTCAAGTTGACATTTCATTGTTGCCTGGATTTCTCCAAGGGACTTCTTCTTGCTTTTTTTCTTACTTTTATCTAAATAATAAAAATAATAAAACTTAACCTATTTCACATTCATTAGACCAATCGATACGACATTAAGATGTAACAACTACACATTGATATTAATTCTGATATAAAATAAATGTGTAGAATATGCAAATCATACTGTATTTAAGACAATATTCCCCGTTAAACTTTCGTCAAATATCAAAACACGTGTGTACCGCTATATTTCTAATTGATATTTATAACAGAAGATAAATACGTTTACTCATTTCTACGTATAAAATAAGGATACTGGCATAAAACAATGAATACCATGTAACAAATATGACGTTAAACGGTATAATATACGAATAAAATAAATAATAATTACCGCTTTCTGCCATCTTGATATGCGTGAGCAGAGACAACACGTGTATTCTGAATCTACCTTAGCGCGACACCAACATGCGATGCGAGAGGAAGTGCATCCAGTAGTATAACTTCATGGATTATGTAGTACTTTAGATGTGCTTCGTTCAACAATGTTCAAGTAACGAGAAGGAAATTTTTAACACTTTATATCATAAAGTATAGCGTGTCAGTGAAAATAAATTATACGAATAAATTCTACGAAAACAAATATACGCGATGATAGCGAAATACGAATTTTTAATTAATTCAAGACACTGACGCCCATCTATAATGTTCTTTGTGTTCGAATTCCAATGTTTTTAGCGAAAATAGCGAATTTTCAATTTTGTTAAAAGTATAAACATCTTGAGATATCAATAAATCGTACATTATTAATAATTTTGTAAATGAATTGGAACGCTTAAACGAAACATTTGTATATAATGAAACTAGTAGATTATCTCGTACTCTCTACCACAAAAAGCCACTATGTTTAGTTTTCGCGGCAAACTCGGGGTGGGTGAAACGGAGTTAAAAGCAGCAGTGAATATAAAAAAAAAATACTCCCATGCCGAGAATCACTGCATCATGTTTGTGGAAAACTTAGAAAGAGGATTTTATCGCTTAGTAAAACATGATGTGAGTTACGTTATATCATTTCTTTCATTTGACAATTCAATAATTTATCCACCTTTATGTAGGTTAATTTTTTTTTTTGTTTAAAAATTACAAATGTATTTTTGAATTGCTATACAATCTATTTAAGTTGATTTCGAAGTATTGTTATGTTTATTTAATTAATTCTTATTCGTATTTGCCGAGCAACACGAGGTGATCATTTTATGCATAATTATGCACATTTGTTATTTTATATTATTAAATGATTTAAGTGAAATAAGATACTAATGTAGACGTTTTTCATTGTAGAGATGCCTGCTACTGGTTAACTTTGACGTCGATGCTATTTGTGCCTGTAAAATTTTGCAATTACTTTTCAAGTATGATAACATGATATATACACTTGTACCTGTTCAAGGTGTTCAAGATATGATTCGTGCTTTTGAAGAAAATTGCGAAGAGGTAATGAAAGTTTAAAAGGCACACACATGTATACGCCTTTGCAGTAAATTTTATTAATTTCCTATTTAGGTAAAAAATATTATTTTTATAAATTGCGGCGGTACACTAGACTTAGTAGAATTATTGCAACCAGCAGAATCTGTGATATTTTATATCCTTGATAGCCACAGGCCTTATGACTTGTGTAACATATATTCGGAGGATCAAGTACGCATACTTGGTAAACCTGATGAAGATGATGAAATTCCAGAGTATAATGATGTATTCAGAGATGATTCTGTAAGCGATTTGTTCCAATTTGACTAATTTTTTTAACAATAAAGAAACTGAAGGAGACTTACTTGACAATTTCTAGTCTGATGAAAACGAAACGGATGAAGAATCGTCAACTGATAGATCCCAGACAAAAAGGCGAAGGTTGAATGAGGAAGATATTATCAAAAGAGCTGGACGAAGAGAATGGTCTGAAAAAAGGGCAACTATTTTGTTCAACTATACACAGTACAGCTACTACGGCAAATCGGTATGAGTTACCAAAATACGTGAATATTATTATTAATGTGGAGCATAAGAATTTCAGTACATTTTGTATTTCCGTAGAGTGCAATGATTATGTTTGAAATGGCATGGAGTATGACAAAGGACAATTTGGACATGATTTGGTGGGCTATAATTGGTTCTACGGAACAAGCTATTCTTGGTAAAGTAGAATCAAGATTGAGCGTTCTTGAAGAAGGTTTCCTTCAAGCTCATGTATCTAGATTAACTCATAAAAAGGGAGCTGAAGTTGATAAGCAACAACAGCAACAAAGTGCAGTCAAAATTACTTATGATAAAGAGTATCCTTTTGAGTCAAATTTCTATATAGTAAATATTTTATTTACATAATATATAAAAATTTTTTACGTTAAAACACGAATTTTATTTTCTTACATAGAAATATAGTCTCTTGCTTGTATTATATCGTCATTGGACTGTAGAAGATAGCTTAAGACATTCAGTACCAACAGCAGTATCGTTACGACTTTGGTCTCTTAGAGGAGAACAACGGTTAAAGGGATTGTTGGCAGACATGGGTTTGCCTCTAGCACAATCAAAACAACGATTTTCAGCAATGGATCTTGCGCTTAGACAAGAATTTAAACAAATGGTTGAAAAATTAGCAGGGAAATATAAAGTAGATACTATAATTGGAACAAGCTTTACCCTCCAATATGGTTACAAATTTAAATACTGTGCTTCAGATATAGTTTATGCTATGCTCGCTTTAATAGAATCTTCTGTAAGTTCATAATTCTTGCATTTTTAGTTGTTTAATTGTGCGAATATTTTAATACAACGTTTTAATGTTTCAGTCAAAAACGAAATTACCGCAAGGCTGTTTTTTAGATGCATTGGACTGTTTATCTCGTACAAAGAAAGACATTTTAGAAAGTGGCATAGAAAAAGCGAAACTTATGCTTAAGACTGTTTTTAAGACTGCACAGACTATATTGCAATTGAAAGAAATTAGAAACACCGGCTCATTTCTGTATATAATTATTCCAGAAGGAAGTGCTGACAATTTTATATTCGCGCACCCATACCCATTAATGATGTTAGCACAGTTTACTCTAAAGGCTTATGTAGACTCTTCAAAAAACAGGCGGGCACCGGAATTGCCACTTGTAGCTTCTGCAGTGTACAATGCAGAAGAGAGAATATGTATAATGATTGGTATACCACCAGTGTGTGAAGATCAACCCAGAAGGTAATTACAAGTAATTGATGAGAAGTTATTGTAGAAATACGTTAAACAGATTTAGCATTATTTCATGAATAATATCAATATTCATCTTTTATAGTTTATTTGGAAAAGCTTTTGAACAAGCGGCAAAAAATACAAATTCCTATATAGATGCAGATTACTTTGATTCCACAAGTAAGAATTGCCTATGATTTCATAGTATTTATTTTTAACATCTGGTTTTTTAAACGCTGATATTTTATGTTTCAGTAATAAGACTGAAAATTGAAGAAAGGCCAAAATTTTTGGATGCTCTCGCATCTCTTTTAGCATAAAATTTTAGTGACTTATTTAATATGTAAAAACAAGAACTTTTTCCTTCATATATTTATTTTTTTTTAAATAGTACAAAATAACGATAATGAAATCTTTTTAAAAATACGACGGGTTGAATCAAATATATTTTATTTTTTGTGACAAATTGCAATTGACAAACGTAAGTTAATAGTATTTTCATTTATGTACGAAACAATAAGAAATTTATTCAATGATGCACGGAATAAATTAATGATACACTAACGTAAAATGATATGTAATAATTTTTATATAAAAACAGAATTTGGAAAAAAAAGAACTACGAATAAATCTATTCCATTTTTCACACTTATTTATTTTTTAAATTCATAAAATAATTTTAATCAAGATACGAGATAAATTATTATTATTACCTTTATGGAGAACAGAGTAAGTAACTCAAGCACTTGCTAGTAACTCAAGATATGTTAGACGTGTTCATTTGGCGTTTATTAAGTAATACATTATATAATATATTAACGTGTGCATGTGTACATTTAAAAATACAATTCGCTCAGTTTTTATTGACTATGATACATAATACATGTCTTTTGGTTACTTCCACAAAAGGGTGTGCGAATACAAGCGCCATTTCGCGCGAGATCCTTCCTACGAAAGGAGCAATGGTATCACAGAGATAGGATTGAGAAAAGAGGGTGGGGTTTCTTTTTTTTGTTTTTGTTTTTCGTGGTTGTATAATGACCACTTAAAATCTTAACTGCTCCTTCCTTCACGTGGCTTTCAATATTCCGTATAAAATTGTCGGTTGATCTTTAAAAATTCAAGTAGAAACGTAATCATTTTTAGCGGTCTTATGCACTGCAGCTATTTTGTTTATAGGCAGTTTGTCATTACGAAAACCGTCGACAAATTGTTGTACAGAATCCACAGTAATCTCGGCACCATCCTCCATCACCACATAAACTCCTCGAGGTATATCAATCGCTGTTAAGAGGGGCACAGCGTCATCTAAACCGACAAATTCACGAAGAATATCTGACGTTTCACACTATAAGGAAAACGATAGTACATCCATTAAGTTTAGAATAATTGTACGTGATGTGTGCATGTAAGGTCGGTACTTACATCTAATGCTATATAAAACTGCAAAATATCATCTGGGTCGTCGTAATTTGGATCGTAATCTGGTCTATCTTGCCTGTACGCCTGGGCAGCTGGCAATAACACACTTTCTGCGAATTGAATTTCACAGTCTTCACCTTCTGCCGAAAACAATAACGACGCAAAGAAACGTTACGCAGATACGTAAAAAGATCTTTTTCGATTCATTTTAGCAGCGTGTTTCTAATAATTCTGTTTTTTTTTTTTCATCTTTCGCCATCTTGCACGCGAATATCACAGAAAACGAACTTACCGACAAAAAGAATAATTGCCGGCGCATCGTGTAACGAAGTAGCGTACTTCTCGGTTAAAATATTCACCAAACGGCTGGTCCACGGGAAATTCTGAAAGATTGAAAAAATGTAAAGACTGACTGTGTCGACTGACGAGTCGAGTTTTCGAATTTTCATTTACCAGCCCTTCGGGATCCTCGATTAACTCCGCACGACCGTCTAACGTTATAATGTTATCTCGGGGATCAAGTATCACTAAAGTGGGTATTGCTTGTACGTCGAGGGCTCTCGCTAATTTTCGTCGTCTCTCTTCTTGACTAAAGGGTATCCTCAACCAAGGCATCGTTTCAATATAAACGTTATAAGATTCTTCGCTCCTAAAACAAAAAAAAAGGTCGTACATTTCATTTAATCCTTTATAAGCCGAATATTTTTTTTAACTATAAAAAAATTTATGTAACGTCATTAAAATCAATAAATATACTACAGATTAACAATTAATTCAGCAGTTTCAAAAATTTTATATATAACTTATGATAACTGTTATCAAGAATGGTTGCACTGGTTATTAAGGAGACATTGTACAAGACGTATACGCCATCTTGTGGGAAAAAGTTCAATTATTTAATAAAATATCGATATTTTATCACGATCACGTGACTTACTACGAATAGGGCATATTTCACGTTTCATTCGAAACGAATTTTCTTTCGACTTACCTATCTGAACTCACAAAGATCACCTCGAAATCGTGACCCCTCTCTCGAATTCGCTGATAAGTGTCCACAAGCTGCGGGGTAAATGCCTTACAAGGTGGACACTATAACCATAGAAAATATACATTTAATTTTATTGTTAATCACAGATCACCGCAAGTAATTAATTAAGAAAAAAAATAAATAAATGAATGCGAATCAAACACATTTCGATCAATTACACCCGTATACCGTCACTGCAATCCAAGATTCCATTTTTAACTTGCACGACGTATAAGGTTGGAATCGCTGGATCGATTATTATGCAGGAGAGAGAACTGGAGCGCAAGCGGTTAATTTTAACCGCGGTAAAATATACAGATCCAGTAGATTATAAATTCCCAAGGAATCTACGGAAGATACTAAAATACTACATCACTGTCTTGAATAAATCGAGTAATTGTTCGAGGGGAAAGCAAGAGGGAGGGAGGGAGAGAGAGAGAGATGCATTTTTCAATTTCAAACGAAACTTTGAAAATGTCAATTTCAAATGGAACAACGAAAAAAAAAGCACAATTTTAATTGAAACTAGGTGAAGAAAGTGTTGCACGTAGCGTACCCAGTGTGCGCTGAAGTAAACACCCTTGAAGCAGTGACGTAACTCCTCGTGTAGCATGGGTTCGTTACTATCGCGCGCCCCGCACGACAGCAGGGGCCCATCTTCGAGAGCAGCCTTCGGATGAGGAGGTTTCCAAGGAAATTCAGCCCCGCTGGGATCACCGATGGTTCGCTCCACGCCTCCTCTGGTTATCACCGAGCCGTTCGTCCCGTCCAATAGAATCAAAGTCGGTACGCCGGCCTTTATCCGGTACCTCCGAGTCAGTCTGGTCTGTAAAAGAGACACTTGATCGCCTGTAAGAGTATATTTCAATGTCGATCCGCGAGATCCCCTTAAATCTTTTTCATAAATATTCGTCAGAGCACGGCGTTCTTTGTTTTGCTGCAGTCCGCCAGCGACTTCAACTCGAACTCGACGAGATTGGAATAATCTATGCGACACGGTTCATCGTCAAAGTATGAAATCGGGAGCAAAATATCACC